TCAAAGTCCGCCATGCTTCTACTTGGTACAAATGCGCATGTGTGGATGTGTTTAATATATGCAATATGAATAAATTACGATTTTGACCGAGAGGAGCCTGAGACGAATGGGTAATAATAAGATAAAGAAATAAGGGTGAATTTGCAACGATGCCTTCCTTGGAGGGAGGGGTGGTTGTTGAGATGCAAAAGAACTGAAAAAATAAAATTTTCTGGTAAGCACTAATTCTTTTTAAGAACCCCCCCAAAAGCCAAGCCCCTATTTTTCAACCACACCCCCAAAAAGGAAAGGCCCTTTTTCAGACAGTTGATGAAAGAACTGGTTTAAAAATTTCAAACCTGTTTGAAAAACTTAAACTGGTTTGAAAAATTCAAACCAGAGGTAAAATTTGAACCACAATTCACACTTACATAAGCATTATGGAAGCTTTGCAAAACACTATTTCGTTTGAACTCTGTATACTTAATTCTTTAGAAATTCTTTATACAGTGTTTAAATTGGAATTACAAATTCCAGCTAGGTAGATCAATACTGTCAACGATATAAATCATCTTTCATGAATTAGAAATATGAAAAGTTTAAACAAAATTGTACAGTCATCCATTAAACACTAACTGTAACATATCTCTGTTTCGCAGTAAAATATTCATCTCAATTTAATCATCCAACTTGCAAAAAAGGACTACTTTAAACACCTAGTATGTTCTTTCTTTTAGTGTTTGAGTACTGATCTAGTGTGAACAAATCTTAGAACAGCTCTTAAACTGAAAATGTCGTAAATATTGTAACAATTACTAGCTTTTAAAAGGGTCCTTCTTAGCAAGTCCAGCCCATAATTTGGCCTTGGGATGGTTCTCTACCCACTGCTCTCTTCGAGGTCTGAAGCTTGAGCCGCGGAACCTGTTGACAGTTTTGGAGAGGAGTCCAGAGTCAACAAATGCCTGGGGTCTTTGGGCTTTCGGGATCGGGTGGTACTCAACTGAAATTCTAAGCACACCATCCAAGTTTTCTGGATGCAAACTCGACCCGCAGCTGTGTCTTTACCCTGTTCACGCTGCTGAAGCCTCTCTCCACCACTGCTGTTGACAGTGGCCAAATAAGAACAATTTCAGCTAGGAGTAGGAAATTACAGCAGTCATCCATTCGACTTCTGAAGATGGTGGCAAAGATTTCCTCGGTGCACCTGCAGCTTAAATGAAGGCTGACGTAGCTTTTGACTGATGACCACTTTCTTACAATCTGATGGAGTTCACATCCAGCTCTTAACAAGTGATCCTCATAATAATTTGCCAGTAATTCAATTTCAGCATCCCTTTATGTAGACAACTCAATCTGATCTTTTGGCCACACGTCTGGATCCAGCACTGCAGCAGCTTTCAGCAGAGGGTCATTTTCTAAGTAGCCAAACCTCTCTTCTACATTCTCAAGTATATCGTCCAGGGTTCTCAATAGAAGTAGGCACCTGGCGATTGATCGCTGCTTACTTTGGGATTTATAGCCGCTTACTTTGTGTTTAAGTCGCTTTTCTTTGCTTTGTTTTGACACGTCCCGCTTTGCTGCAGAGCCTCCTACTTTATCAGTGATCACCTCCTACTTAAAAATCTATTGAGAACCCTGATCGTCCAGCACTGCCTGCTTCTTCGCCTCAAATTCTTTAAGATCATTTCCTCCACTGACAATGGTGATTTCACTGAAAGAGTCGTTGCCCTCCATTTGTTGCAGAAAATGGTGGAGTCTTTGGCCGTTCTTCTTTCTCATGGCAAGTAATCTCATCTTGAAGTTGTTGACTGCTGCAATCACACGCGTAACTGTAGTAAAGTTACCTTGAAACACTTTACTGAGTTGGGGTACCACCTCCACTATGTCCCATGTCAGGTGTGTAAACCACAGTCCCTTCATGGATGTCAAAAACTTCACTGAGAAAGTTGCTCTTCCTTGTCGTCCTGCTGATCCAGCTCTGCCTTCTTTGGTGTTTTGTGAATGCATGATAAGAACTTTGAATCCACTAAAAAGAATTTTCAAGGCAGTTTCTAGATGTGGAAGCCAATGAGCACCTAACTCATTCAAAGGTCTTGAAACTTTCTCCTCGAGGGCTTCAGCTAACTCTCTCAGTTCTCGCAGAGCCTTAGGGCTGTAGTGATACTCCTTGTACAGACTCTGCAGTGTTTCGCGCAGCTTATTGAACTCTTCAAAGTGTTGGAGGGACTTGACAACAGCAAGCTCTACCCTGTGTGCACCGCACCAAAACTCCTTAACTCCTTAAAGTTTGACGAATCATTTCGAAGTAGCCCCCAAACTCCATTCCTCGCTCAAGTCATCACTGCACAGCCATCGATGCCAAATGACATCAGCTTCTCCTTCCACTCACTGTCCTCCATTCACATACTGTTTGATATGGCGAAACTGATGGCATCCAGAACATCTACACTACTCCCTGAATTTGGCTCTTGAATTGCCAAGTACCCTGATCAGTTCACACCCTGATCAGTTCCACCATCTGCCATCGCTGAAAGAAAATTGTTCCCTCGTAAGTTCTGTGCTATCTCATCCTTCATAACCTCACTTTTATTAGACAGAAATTCGGTACAGGCACTTCTTGTTACATGTATTTCACCAAGGTCAGCTCCATTAATGTTTTTGTAGAGCACAAACACACTCATAATCATCAAAGGGCCTTTCCAGTGCCACAACAGTAAAGGCAGTCAGGATCTTCTTTTCCAATTTTGCATCAGCTGAAGTACTACCCTTGTTAAGCGACTTAGCCAATGGAGACTCCTGTGGCTTCTGTCTAGCTTTCAAGGTCTCGGTGCAACTCACATGAGCTTGACTTTTCTCATGCTTTTTTAGCGTTTCAATCTTAAAGACTTTTGCTCCACTTTTCTTGGATAGGTCTGCACCAGATGACGTCTTTGCCAGCTGTGAACATGCATCGCAGAACATTGATTGGACAACACAATTTGGCGGCTGGACATGAGGGTATGGATATGAGTACTGCTCATCTGAGTTGAGGCATTGCTTGTTGATCCTTAACCAAGGAAACAAGGTCAGCCAATTCCACTGGAACTTTCTTACTCTGCTTTTTTCGTAGTTGCTTGTTTTGTTCTTTTCTTCTCCTTTAGACAACTGTGAGAGGACCTGTGGTGAGGCCACGTTTGCTGCATTAGTGGAAACAGGCTTAGTTTTCTTCTCGTCACGTACTAAGGTTTTAGGGAGATCTTCTTTCTTCTGTTTTTTAAGAGAACTTGGTTGACTTAGGAGGCCAAATTGTTCTAAACACCCTCTTTTTGTGGCTTTAGATTTGCATTGTTCGCACGGTTGTGTTTTCTTTTTGTTGCTCTCTCCAGGATCCTATCCTGTCTTCTTTAGACCCTTTACCATACTGCATCCGGGGCCTTTAGTTGCTCTGTTAACGCCAGTCTCGAAAGTCCAACGACCATTTGGGCTTTCGGGGCTTGGTTTGGAATCATATGTTTTGCTGTCAACCAAAGCATCAATACCGTCACTTGCTTCTGCTGAGTACAGAGGGACAGAGTGATTTGGTTCATACCATGCGCCAGGTCTGTTTTCACTTCCTTCTCTCGACCAAAGCAAGAACACTGGTTCCACAGAGAATGTGGCCATTTGGGGATAGATGATACCATGAAGGAAGTCTCGTATCCACGTCTGACAGTTTGGGTAGCTTGAGAACACAGGCCTAGCTAACACTGTTGCTCGCGCTGTCAAATGAAGATATCCACTCCACTCTTTGGTTTGCTGGCAACCCATGCTTCAGACAGAATGGCAAATTTTCTATCATGCTCAGTGTCGTGAAACACTTTGTTACTACTGTTGGTTAAACACAGGGAAAAAACGGTATTGGGGTGACGACCACCAGCGGGAAAGTAGGTACATTTTGGATGCTGCGCGTAAAAATCAGCATTAAGCACAAGCTCAAGGGCAACAAGCAATCGTAGCAACGTTGCATATGATTCATTGCCAACCAAAGTTAGTGATGCAGCATTATACAAACAATCACCATTTGCAGTTGTTTTCACTGCCTTGTACTTCTTCTCTGCAGACGACAGATCTTCAGGAATCAATGCATCTGCCATTTCTTCTTCTTCAAGGCCCACGTGGGCATTGCACCCCAGGTTGCGAATAAATTCCTTTTGCTTTTCGTACTTTTTTTCCAGGGTACACAAAAAGCGTTTAAGCTGATCGTCTTTCGAGTCACTATTCCCCTTTATGTGGGAGTCCATGAGTTTAAACAAGGCAGCAAGATCTTCATCTATCTTTTCTCCAACAAAACATTACCGCTATACTGCTCTGCTGATCAGCAAACTCGCTAATTTTTAGCCTAAGCATGCAAAAAACCCCTGCATGTTGTTATATGAAACCCATCAAAGTTTTCGCGTCATGCGAAACAAGGGCAAAGCCACCGATTTTTCATGTTTTTTAATGGAAAAGTAAGATTCAAGTCTGTTTAGGTAATTTTTATGAAAATGTTTCAGTCAAAAATAAGAAAACTATTCTTTTTACTAATCATTTAGGTCGAAAAGAAAATTCGCTTGCGACAAATGACTGAGATCCCGTGGAGCATTCGCGGGAAAGCTGCCATGAATTTCCGCAACAAAACCCGCCGCCGCCCCAAAACTATTATCTTTTTTGAACAAGTCAACTTGGAAAGTCATCGTTTAAGTGCAGAACAGAAGTATTTTCTTTCCTATGTTATCAGTGAAATTGTGGATTCGGTTGATTTGGCCTTTGTGTATTTATTTTTAGTACATGATAGGTAGTGACTTGTCACGACACCAAGGACAATGCGGGACTTACAGATTTTATACCTGTTTCTAAAACAATCACAAAAAATAATCGTGTCTTTTCTTTTTTATACATCGTGTTTTACTGGAAAAACAATCTTAAGTTATGTATTAGCCTCGCAGACACGGCAGTAAAAAGCCTGCTGAAATATTAAATTAGCATAAAAGAGTGACTCCTGTGTTTATTCAGTGCTTTATTAATCGCCGACCGTACTTTACGCCTGTCAGAGCAGAAGTAACAACTTTTGAAAAACTAGCTGATGAGCCATCCCAATTTAAAGGAAAAATTTTAATGCTATTGGAAAAACTGTTAAAATCGAAAACTGTGCAACTTGTCAAGTTCAAAGTCAAGGATTATGCTGCATGTGAATTCACGTGGAACGACCTTTGAACATCAACGCTCACCCCATTGAACAACGTTTTCTTTTAAAAGAGCGACTCCTGGATTCATTCAGTGATTTACTAATCGCGGACCTTACTTTACGTCTGTCAGAGGAGAAGTAACAATTTCTTTTGAAAAACTAACGAGCCATCCTAGTTTAAAGGAAAAATTATAATCCTATTTGGAAAAGCTGTTAAAATCGAAAACTGTGCAGCTTGTCACGATCAAAGTCGATGATTATGTTACATGTGAATTCACGTGGAATGACCTTTGAATACCAATGCGTGCGCGATTGAACAACATTTTCTTTTTGCTTTTTGACTGTAAGTCAAGAAAACAACACCAGCAGGTCACCTGGCTGGGCGACCTAGAAATATTTTCAGTCGCCCAAGGCCAAATGTTAGCCGCCTCAGGTGACCGGGCGCTCTTAGAGCACAGCCTTGGTTATTGTTAGTCTGTCAGTTAAGCCATGATGTGCTATGAAGAGGGTCGTACAGGGACGGGGGAGGAGAGGGGGGTCCCAGGCACGATTCACAGACCACAAAAATGACAAATCATGAATCACGAATCACGAATATTATAATTTCATTTTCACGTATCCCAATAATCAGCATGTGAAGCATTCCTTAATCTTGTTCTTAAGTAAAGAAAAGGGTAGCAAAGTGGTGTCTGAAAACACTTCAGCAAGGGGGCCACAAGGAAAAGAAGGACTACAAATTGCAAGTTACACACTTTCATCACTCCTAACAGATAACTCTAACCATTCGTCCACTAAGTGTATTGATGCGTTAAATAAACATTAAATTATCATCCTTACTGTCTGTCTAAATCCGTTTCCACTCTTCCTCATCTTCTTCAACCTCTGCTTCATGTACAGATGTATTGCTTACACCTCAACAATATCTTCATGTGACATAGAAGTAATAGCACTCATTGCAAATGGAACAGACTGCATTGTGGCTGAACAAACGTTTCCTTTAGGTTAGTCAGATGCTTAGGACATCGTACATGTTAATGGCAGGGTCCCCCGATTTAAACATTGTACTCTCTCGCCTCAAACTCTGTCGTACAGCTTTTCCATTGCTTGCTGCCCAACCCATCATGAGTTAATTTTTCCTGCCTTTTAAGCTGCCTAATTGCCTTGACATGTTCCAGTCTCCTTAAAATGCCTCCCATTTAGAGGTTTTAAGTAAAAATGTTCTCCCAGTGTTGGTGGGTCCCTTGATAAGATTGTTTTGAAATTTTTGCTTCTCTTGATATGTTCCAGTGTCGTTAAAATGCCCCCCAACCTTTCCTTTTTCCAGACGACAGAATTTGAGCTCAACGCTTTGGCCAGGGCCATGTTTCTCACCCTTTGCCTTTAATGCCACGAATTATTCGAATTTTTTTTCTGAACACTGTTAGTGAAGAGTATTCAATCTTTAGAGGGAAACGACTCTTTACTTTCTAAGGAAAGTCATTAAACCCAGGAAATTTGGACGGTCAGTGTAAAATATTACAAATTCAATTGAAAATATATCACCCATTTGCCCTGCCATGTTTACAACGACAATGATCTTCAATTTGCACGATCAGTTCCTTCGCGGACTTAATGAGTCTTCTGATGTCTACAAAGAATAGTTAAGTCGATGTTAGAGTCATGTCAGATAGGTGTACATTATTTTTACGTTAATTGTCTCATTTACTGATTCATAGTCTATTCATCTTTCAGAGGTTTCAAAACTGGAAATCACGAGAAAAGTATGTAATGAAATCAGGATTATTGATTATCAATTCAACTTTTTCACGGGGCACAATCAATCAATCATTTTTATTCAAACACAGAAACTAATTCATAAAAATGCTCTTCTAGAGAGCCGTGCAAAAATCATGCAATAAAACAACACTAGATAAATAATAAAGTTATTAAAATGGTATTAAATAGCAAATGTGAGATAAATGACTTCAAGCTTGTTTGATAGACTATTCCAGAAAACCGCCCGTCCATAGTGGAAGGTGTTCTTTCCAGCCTCAGTGTATGGTCTTGGTACAAACATATTATGTTTTGAGTTTCTTAGATTATAGGGGTACATAGAGCTTGTAGTATTAAAACTTTGGGCCAAATGATCTGGTGCAATGTGATTTTTCAATTTATACATTATTGGGGCTAATTGCCTTGTCCTCCATGTCTCAAGATTATCACACCCGAGTTCATCCAGTCTCAACCGATTGCCTATCATAACTAGAGGAAATTGAACTTGCTGTCCCTTTAGCATTAGAAGCAGATCATGCCATTGAATTATTTGGGGGTTCCTCTGCTTTTTCTGCTCCTACCCATGCAAAAGTGGATGTAGCTGGGTTACTGAATGACCTGTACACAACTTTTAGAGGATTAAGTAAAAATTAGAATGTTTTGAAATTTCCCCTCCCTTTTTAAGTATGTCTTTTACAACTTGTGAGAAGGCCTTCCGTGACACGTCATTCCACCTAAGAATCTGGTTCGCACACTGTAGCCACTGCCCGTTACATTGATCAACACAAGGATCTTCTTCGGACTCTAAGAGCTCCAGCCTGTTTAATTTGCCCTGCTCAATCACGTCACTCACTCGCATTCACCATTTCTCACAAAGTTGCAATGACCCCGTCTACAACCCTGTTGCCTCTGTTGAACATGAACTACGCCAGGTCTGTTTGGCCCTCGGCTTTTTGCACATTCGTGAGTGCAAGTAGTTCTGTTCTGTTACTGATCCCCTTATCGACGATTATTTTTGAAACTTCATAACTACTTAAATACCCAGAATGCTTTCGCTTAACTGCTTTGCTGGCCCACCTGCCTTCATCTCTTTTGTTTTCTTGACCCTTGCTTTCTTCTCTGCTTGCGGGACTGGAAGATTCTTCATTGTGGCCACTTGTGATGGCTGGTACACTTCGTTTTTTGCGAGCTTGACGTGCTGATGTAGTTCTCTGTGGACCAGAGTTGGCCAAGTCACGATGATCAGGAGACTGAATGTAGTTTCTGTCTTCTTTGGTTGTGTACAACCAAGCAGTGTAATAATTAATGTGCCGGTTAGAAAAGTGAACGTAAAGGCTCTCCATCTGTTCTTTAAATAGTTCTGAATGGGCAGCCACATCTTAATAAAGTTTAAGTTTATAGCCATGTGAAAGTACTTTCCACCTCCCTTCTTATGACTTTCTTGGCAGCATGACCACTGGACAATTTTTGCTTTCGGTCCCTCACAGTTTCTAACTTCTTCATAAACAGCATCTGCAAACGACTTTCTGTCAGGGAAAATACGGAGATCTGCTTTGCTATTAGTCAGTAAGTAAACGCTTCACACTTAGGCTGTTTCTAAGTTTTTATTGGAGCTTTCGCTCAAACCATTCGATGTGTACTGAGAGGTCAGCTCCATCGTTATATTCTGGCAAACAGTTTTTGTAGCTTTGAGTCAGTAGAAATATCAACCGATGCAGTTTGCGCAATCACTACACAAGAATTTTCGTAGTGAAAAAAGAGCCAGTTTTGTGAAAGAAGTATGTTACTATTATGACATCAATAGTGTCATGTATTCATGCATTCTATTTTTTCCACAAATGGAATACACAAAAAACATATATTGAACGCCATTAGTAACATTTTTGCAATCTCTCTTTGGCTTATTCATGATGAAGCAAGCCCTAGGATTTCAAATCCCATGGATAACCATTTTTTAGTTCTGTGCCCAGAGATCATGAGAAACTATCGGTAACAATTTTTTAGTTCCGGGAAAATTCATGGGAACGCACTTTTATTTCTTTTAATGTACAGAAACATGTTGTTAAACATACTTTAAAATTAAAGAACATCAGTTTGTACTATTATTTGCTAAAAACTTCAATGTCTATTTTTAAAATGTCAGGACAATTTAAGTGTTAAATGTGTGCACTAAAGTATCAAAACTCCACACTCCTCTTCAATCGAACTAAAGAAGTATACTCACTTGAAATGTTGGCTACAGATCTTGTCTTTTTGTAAAGAGATTCTGGCCTCATCATCAGTTTCACAGTGAAATTGTCACTAAAAGACTACATTCTAATTGTTTTTAAACTTTTGGAGTTGTACATTTTTTTTCTTGGTACTGGAAGCCATAACAATCGCTGCTGTTAACTGTAACATATCTTTCACGCGTGAGTCATCAGTAACATGCAGTGCATTTTGGGAATGAGTCAAGATGGCGGAATAGAAAAACGGTAACGTTCTTTTTAAAATTTCGTTTGTACACAAGCTGAGTCATAAAGAATTGCTGTACTGGTTAAGAATCTGACTGGAAAATACTTTATTTGTGTATTTTCATCCGTCAGTCTGAATATATCAGGACAGGTCACTGGGAAACTATTTTTGGGTTCTATTATTTTAAGATCACGGTAATGACACGGTAGCGGAAACGATCATTACCGTGAAATCCTAGGGCCTGATGAAGCCAGGTTTGTGTTCAAAGTGCTAAGCTTCAAAACCTTGCGACCACAACTTTTAAGTCATGATTACCATACATTATGCTTTGGGTAACGCCAGTCTCAGTTTTGGACAATCTTGGACAGAATAAAATTGAACAGCAAACCCCCTTGCCCCCAAAATCAAGGATGAAGCCGTGCAAAGGGTAAAAAATGCGTCATTTTCCCCTCTTTGATTTTGTTTCCACCTGTTGCTTGGCAGTGGCTTCAGATGATATTTCATATCAGCGGTTGTTGCTGCTGGAAATGCCTTGACAACTACCTCGTGACCAACTCTCCTTCCAATTTTCCTTCCCTGCACATGCTTTACCATTGAATCTCCGATAACCACTGTCACCTTGTTTGCGGGACCCGTGCTCTTGGAATTGTTTACCTGCAGATTTTCATGTTGATTTTCTGTTGGTAAGGTTGGTTTAGTTTGTCCGCTTCCTCTGAGTTTGCTCTAAGAAGTCAGGTCTTGTGCTTTGGTCTGCTTCTTGGTGTCAAATTGACTTTGGTTGTTGATCTCTTTAGTCATTACGCACAAAGCCGTTATGTAAGAGTCCCTTTCCTCAGAGACCTTTTTAAGCATTTTTGTTTCTTTGTTCAACAGCTCTTTCAGGATGCAAATTTCTTGGCTGAGTTCCTGGTTCTTTTGTTGAAGGGTGTTAATGAGTTGTCATCATCCCATGCGCTAATACGCACCCCAGCCATAAAATATATTAAAAATTCAGAAAGTGTTGCTACATTTAAAGCAAAACTTAAAACATTTTTATTCAAGGAATATTTCCATTGATTATTTTAGAGATTATTCTTCTTTTTCATATCATTATAAAGCACATTGAGGATAGAAATGCTCTTAATGAGAACCTATATTATTATTGTTATTACTATTATTATTATTACTATTATTATTATCATTATTATTATTATTAAGCATTATCTTGGTCTTCTTAACATTAAGAGTCAATGTATTGTTAGTATACAAGTCTGAAAAAGGTATGTAAAGAACTTGGTTATTGGAAATAGCATTATGAATGGCAATAGGATATGTTTATTGGATTTGGTTAAGGGGTGAAAGGGACTTTTTACATATGTAGGTGACCTTGTTGTAGCTACTAGCAAAAGTAGTTGTCGTTGTTGCGGGTGAAAGGTCAAACAAAGGGCCCCGCCTTAACATTCTCAAGTTGTCCATCTCTCCGGACAGTTTTTGTTGTAGAGAACAATTTTGTTGTCTTCCTCAAAAAGTTGTGTTGAATCTGGAATCTTAGGTGGATATTGTCATAAATTAGCGTAATTAATGTCACAAATTTTCACAAAATAAAACAATATTGACCCAGATCCCTGGGTATAACGAAAAGTTAATAAACTGTGCACTTCAAAGCTGGTTGCTCATCTGAACATCTTGCCTGGTTTTCCTTGATCAAAATAGAACTATTTACTACTGCCATATCAATAAAAAAAGAGTTTTCCACTACGTTATGCACTTTCTTACCACATTCTGTGCCTAAGATCTGGTCAGATTGGTCAACTGCATTCATGTACTTATTGTAATTCCCATTAGCCCTGGGCTGTGGAACCTGAACAGCTGTCCACCAACCCTCTGCAGTCTTTACTTTTCCAGTGACATGACCATGGCGAAATGTCTCAGTACTCCAGTTCCTGTCTACACTGCCACGAACTTTGACCAAACCAAAATGTAAAAGAAGGGCAATCAACTTTTTGATCTCCTTAGAGGTGATCTCAAGCCAGCTTGCATCTGGCTGGGTGTAGGACCAGTGGGATTCTTTCATGATATGTTCATAGGCATAACTGTGAGAAGCATCAGAACCATGCAACATCAAATCATTTTACTCTGATGCCCCTTAAAGAGATTTCTAACCAAAACTAAAGAGCTATTTACCCCAAAATGTTAAATGTTTAAAGAGATAAGCAAGAATTCAAACATAATGTTCTGTTACTTCTTACATGTGTGGTGTCATAAGTGAACTGTTGTTGAAGCTTACCTCGAAATTTGCTTTCTTTGGTGAGAAGGTGATCTAATTCACTTTCTTCACTACTTTATATGCCTTGTGGATTGCTATCTCTTTTGAAGGTTGGAGGTGTTGCTTCTTCTGAGCTTGTTTCACCAACACAGGCTTGCTTCAAACTCAACTCATTATGCTCACAATCATGTGCCCACCTGGAAATTCAGTGTGAATAATGTTAAACTGATTGCAATGAAACATGGCCAGTGATTGGCTAATTCTACAATTTTCCTTCATGGAAAGTTTGACGTCACTTGAAGGTAACACAAATGTTTTATGAATTTTCACATTATTGATCCATATGGACCAATAAACTGTGGAGTGTGACAAGAATGAGTTAATAATATTATTGCCCTTCATATTCTATATCTACCTTGTACATTCCTCTAAGATGCACATCCATGATGTTTTCCCCAATATTTACGAATTCAAAATGATCATGCAACCTTTCTTATGGTTGTAGTTTAATTATTACTAAAAACCTTTCTGACCGTGAATTCTAAAAGAAACTTTGTTACCTACCTAAGTTCCTGCTCCTTGGCCCTCTTTAGACACCTTGTTACCCATCTGAATGATGTGTTTTGGTGCTTCCAGTACCTCCATCATCATAGATAGACATTCTTCACTCAAGTTGAAATGGTATTTTAAGGTGCCATCTGTTTGGAATCCAACTGCCTGAGCTTCAGTTTTGGTTGAACTATGGGGAGTCTAAAAAGTAGAGTATGCTTCCTAGCTGAGGATAATAAAGTGGTCTCAGAAGAAATTTGAAGAATGCTTCTGTTAACTCTGCCAGTTTACATTTATCACAGTGCTCTTGCCATGTTATCTCAAAATTAACAAAATCTTCTGATGAAAATTTATATTCTTGAAGGCAACCATTATGAATACTTTCGACCCACAAACTGTCATGTTGGGATGGCTTGTAGTTCTTGTAGATTTGGTAGGTATTCAACAGCTGAGAGTAACAAAGACCAGACATTAGCTTGGAGAACTCTGAGCAACTTTTGTGAAAACCTTGACAGAGATCACTTGACCAGTTCTTTAAGATTTTATCTCTGACCTTCTGATGGCGGTGGTGTAGCCTCAGATGAACATTGCCAAGCCCAGGTTCTGTGCAAAACCTCTGCTCTATCTCTCCAATGAATTCCCCGTTATTTTCTGATTGAATAATGCTTGGTGACAGTTCCTTGATGAAGAAGGCTTTCAAAGAATGTTCCCTTGTAGACTTGGTCTTTAACCCTTTCACTACCAGGGGCCTTCATGCATGATTTCCTGTTGTTCCTGGAGGTAATTAGGGGATTCATCCCAATAAGAGAGTAGAAATCTAAACATATATGCTCAGTAGATTTTGAGACCCTTACTCAGTCTACTAATTACTCAGAATTCAAGCTTAAATATTGTTTTATTTATTGACTTAGTTATTACTAAGAAGCAAATCAAGTACAGGTATAAAATATGTTGTGAAGTTTTGTATTTTGAAAAATTCAAAGTTCCCGCCGTTGCTATTAGCGTGTCACATCACGGCATCTCATATTCATCATTCAATATTCAGTATAATAAATATTATATACAGTACAAAGCTCTAATAATGCAAAGTTATAACATATAGAAGTAAACCCGACTTTCACATTGCAAATAACAATCGCTGCTATTGAAAAAAAAATTGAAAATTCAAGTCAGTGAGGTAAATCAAATTTTAGTGTGGCAGTCGTGGAAACACTGGTCTTGACAGAGCGCAACTCTGCACTGTTGACACAAATTTTGTTTCAATTGGATAGTTTTTGGAAGTTGTCTTCCCTTTAGCTTTGCAGTTGACACATTGCCTCTTACGGCCCTCGATCTTGGTGGAAATATGGGTCAATGGGGCATGAGAGACAAGCGGCAAAGCGTCGCTTGCGGGTCGTTTTCTGGAGTTGAAATTGCCAATGAGTCACTTTCCCAACTCAAGACGGAAAAGATCTTGTGCATGTTTCACACAGCTTTCGGACTCTAAAATATAAGTGTTACAGGCAGCCAAATTAAAAGAAAACCCAAACAGATATTTGTACCACTTTCTCGACTGCCTTCCAACATAATAATACGAGCGAAGTTGATCTGCTCGGTCAACACCACCCATGTTCGCTGTGTAAACATCCGAAACGCGTGGCTTCACGATCTCAATTTCCTTCCTTTTTTCTTTTCGCTGTACAGTGCGCGAAGCTTCTCCCTGAGAAACATTTGTGGCAAGAACAGCAACGTCTCTTTTATCGTACCATTTAGTGAAAACAATGTTTCCCTTTTGGGCCTGGACAAGTTGGCCAGGTCTGGTTAGCTTGTTTGACGCACAAGCCATCAAGCCTTTACGGCCGTATCGAACAGTGGAACAAGCATAAGTTTGTTGCAGCTCTAAGTGCTCCAAAAGCACTGGACTTCAAAAAAAATTATCAAAATAAACATGATGATTTTTATGCATGTAGGGCTGAATCATTTTCATGACTACATCATAGCCAAGTCGTGAATTCCTCGAACACTTTCCTCACTTCCAAGGTAAACATTGTAATTTATTATGTAGCCATTCTTCGAGTCCGCGGCAATCCACACTTTTGTGCCATATTTTGTCAGCTCCGCCGGCATATATTGTCGAAACGAAAGTCTGCCTTTAAAAGCAATCATGCCCTCCCAATATGTTTGTTGGGCGAATAACATCGCTGGCTGTTTTCTAATACGGCATTTAGAACCGCTCTGACCTTGTACAATCGGTCATAGCCGTTCTCACCGTGCGCTGGAGTTTGCGTTGAGTCAGTGGAGTGTAAAAGTTAGAAAATTTCTTGAAAGTGGTTTCTTGTCTTTGTCTGTTTAATTCCCATATTTCCAGTGAAAGGGTCGTCCTTCCAGTAGTCTGCAATTCTGCAGAGTTGATTTATTTCCACAATCACGCAGATGCCAAAGTACGCTTTCAATTCCTCTTTGGAAACATTCTTCCAAGTGGCAAGTCGAGCGGGGTTGTTCCTAAGACTCTGGTGGTCATATTGATTAGTTTCTTTGACTATCAGATCAACTGTTTGCTCTCTGAAAACATTTAAGAAATAACGTTCCGCCTTGGCATCGTCCTGAAGGTTAAAACGTAATCCAGGTTCAGAGAACTCGCTCACTTCAAAGTTTGAAAGTTCAATCCTCCATGGAGTTTCTGCTTCGATGGAATCCTCGGTTGTTTCGCTGCTTGTTTCCTCACTTTCACTGTGGCTTTCTTCATCCTGCCTGGCCTCGAAGCCTGTGAAGTTGATGTCTGAATCATTTTCATCAAATTCTTCGTCCTAATTTCCAAAGATTTCCCTGAATTGGTCTCCGCTAATACTTGTTGGTGATA